CACACCGCATACAACAAAAAATATTTTGTATTCTTAAAGTGTGTGATATATAAGGTGTATAAAATGCATTTCAATTTTGATATTCGTTTATTCAAAGGCTCGTCATAATTTATTTAAAAACACTCGTGGGACAGCTTTCTGAAATTGGTTAAAAGTACTCTTTCTTTCTCGATTGATATTGCTCATTAGTCCAGACTAGACCATTAAAAACTCCGCTTGATTTCTGCTAATAAGATGTTTGGCTGCAGAAAAATATAAAAACCACTTGCACCTATTGATTTTCTTCGCCGAGGTGACTTCGAACTTTTAGCGATATTGCAAGCGTGACAGCCGATTATGCAAATTAGTTCATTGAGCAAACTCCGACCGTTTTTTTTGCACTGAGCCATGCTGGTGACAGAAGTCACAGTCACAACGTGAAGTGTGAGGATTGTGAGATGCTGAAGAGTGTTCTTGAAGAAGTAAAAGGCGCTATTTCTGAGTACACAATGCAATTGGGTAGGTTTCAAGCGGAAGACTATCTGTATGAAGCAAAAAATATATATAAGGGTATATCCTGAGAGCAGAAACCAGGATCAGTACGAGCGGCAAATTGTCGATACTTTGGAGGGAGATGAAGCATTTATAATAGTTAACTGGACGATGAAGTTCCGGGAAAAGCAAGCAGAATGGTTTCCCAAGAGGGAAATCAATCGGCATGTGAGTAGCGTTGTTGTAAGATAGGAGGAAAGCCTGGAGGTAACCTGATACGTAGACCTTCTTAACAGCTGTAAAAAAGACCGGTTTTCAGTGCTGTCAGTCCTAGAAAATCTCTTTGCCACCATAAAGTTACGAAATTCAGGAATAAGATCGGATGAAGCAGGTTGCTATCGCAACAGTAAGCTAGTATCATCTCTTCGAGGGCTGGGACATCAAGATTGCCACTTTCAGCAACTTACACAAGAGGGCCTGCGCATTTGGAGAAAAATTAAAATTACAATTTTTCCACAGAAAAAATGACGGATCTGGTGAAGGAGATTCCATTTTTCCCCACTACTGCTCGACGAACTGCATCAGCAGGAGAAAGTAATGATGGCAACGACGGTAGTTCCTATCAATGCCCTGAACCTGGTTGCGATGAAGATTTTAAGACGCAGGCCGACCTTGACTTCCATATGAACTAGCTAGTTCATCAGGTAAGTCCTGTGCCTGCGAGCATGATTTAAAGTCTTTATGACAAAGTAAAGAGGTAGTGGGTTCATTACTTTCAGTCATTGTCATTAGAGGGTGAAAGTTCGACTGAACTGGTTGCAGTGGCCACAGAACCCTTGACAAGTACATCAAAGCTTCCCATGGGATGGGCTCTTCATAAGAGAGGTGCAAGTGAACGGCTTTCGCAAAACGTCAGGCAGTACTTGAAACAGAAATTTAATATGGGACGAGACACTGTCAGAAACTAAACCCAGAGAAAGTAGCAAAGGATATGCGAAATGCTTGCACAATAGATGGAGAGAGAATGTTCGATAGAACAGAGTGGTTATCCAACATACAGATTCAGGGTTTCTTCTCAAAATTGTGCCTTAAACAGCGATCTAAAATACAACAAGAATCGGATGATGCCACCGACGCAGACGACCACTTGATAGAAGCATCCGCGTCTGATGTAGACGAAGGGTGTTTGAGAGAGGCAAGGAACACAGTAATAGATGAGAAGGATTGAAACATCCAGTCATGTTTGATATCTATGATGTGTGCTCGTTGGCAAGAGAAGCAAGGTTGTCTAGTCTCAAAGTCAAGATGCTAAGAGACATATGCGAACATTTTGAGCTCGCATTCAAAATGCAAGATACAAATGCAGCACCTCTTGCAAAAATGGAGGAAATGATTTCGGAGTGCAGTTGTTATGCAATCTAGTTATGACGTCCACCCGTTATGCGAATGGGATATCTTTTTTACAAGAACTCTTCAAACTTATGAACAGAGACTGTTATGCAGACAGATGTGACGACCAAATATAATTTTTTTCCCTTTCAGCTAGAAATCCGAGAAATCGCTGCTTTATTTAGACGCGTTAAGTATTCAGGACAATTACACGATGGAATTACCTGACAGAGTCACTGGTCACGGTGAATTTAGTGTGTGCTGTTATCGCCGGTTACACTAAATAGAATCCTGTAGTTTAATTTTGAAACGTTCATACAGGTTTGAATAGCGTAAGCCATCAGAACTCAAATATGAAATAACAGAAGCCAAATTTTTAAAAAAGAGTTTGCGAGCGCTAATCAAATTATGATATTCGATACGTTGTTGTTGACGTCTTTCGTCACGAGATAATAAAATTTGTCAAATTTTGGCCTTTTAAAATGCTTAAAGTATTAATCGGTGTGGTTTTAAAGCTCTGTCCTACTATATTTTTTACTTAAAATGGTTAAAATCTAAGATTTATTGAGCTACTCACATAAAACGGTCGGAGTTTGCTCAATGAACTAATTTGCATAATCGGCTGTCACGCTTGCAATATCGCTAAAAGTTCGAAGTCACCTCGGCGAAGAAAATCAATAAGTGCAAGATGTTTTTATATTTTTCTGCAGCCAAACATCTTATTAGCAGAAATCAAGCGGAGTTTTTAATGGTCTAGTCTGGACTAATGAGCAATATCAATCGAGAAAGAAAGAGTACTTTTAACCAATTTCGGAAAGCTGTCCAACGAGTGTTTCTAAATAAATTATGACGAGCCTCTGAATAAACGAATATCAAAATTGAAATGCATTTTATACACCTTATATATCACACACTTTAAGAATATAAAATATTTTTTGTTGTATGCGGTGTGATACGAGGACCGGGCTATTCAACTTTTGAAATTTTCGATGTCGCAAGAGGTCAAAAAAGGGCCTTTTGCAGCTTTGACTTTCGAGAGCTCTAAAAATTTTATTTTGAGGTATTTCCAGAAATTAATGTGGTTTTATTTACTTGTTACCAAAAATAGTTTATTGGGCAAAGTTTTAGGGAAAACTTTTTTTCGATGCGAAATGCCCTGGACCGCTCTTACAGAGATCGCCTCTTAATCATTGTCATTAAAGGGTGTCCTATAGTGTCCATAAGGACAAGAGCAAAGATGATCTTAAAGGTTTTTTTTCTTTTTGCACCAGAAGTAGATCGATCGTGGTTTTGTTACGGTTTCGTTACGGTTTCGTTAAGGTTCCCTGTAAGTGATTAAAGAACTGTAGATCCATATGATACCTTCAAAGATAAAGTGATGTTGATGGCCTCAATCAGATTCCTGATGATGGCATCTTCTTGAAAAAGTCTTCCTGTGCTGCTGTTTAGCTTTTAAAAGACAATAATTACACAAAAATCATAGCTTAACCAAACGGACATGTTTTATTATAGATTGGGTTTTCAGTATTGCGCCGTTATTCTGGTAGGAATACGCGAATTGGAATAAATTTCCTCTGCATTCAGCGAAAGTTGTCTTTTTATCTGAGCTTCCGAGAAACTCAGTTACCAAATCATCTTTGCATAAATGATGGTTATTTTTAATGACGAGTGATTTCAAAATGCCTCTTACTAGAGATTAAAAATAGTGTTACCAAGATAAAGATCTCCTAAACAAAGTAAAACTGAAGGGTGTACTCACCTTTACATTCGTTTCAGACATCGCAATAGCTAACTTGTTTTCTAACACATTTAAATTTTCCTCCAAGCGTTTGAGTCCAGTATTCACCTAAAGCACAATTCTAAGGTTAAGAGGTAGTTAAGAGTAGCAATAAGACAGTTTGGTTAAAAGTTCTTATTCGTCTTAGATTAACACTCCAGATTAGAGAGAACTTCTATGTTTCCTGATGAAGATCTATAATTTTCGGCTCTGAAAACAAGGTCATCTCTGGAACACCTTGTGACCAGCTCAACCTCTGCACTGCCCATTCGCTAAACGGGTTGGGAAGAAGAGTGACACAGGGAAAGAGGTGTCATCAGTAGCACTAGTAATATTATTAGTACAGTCACAGCCGGCTCTTCCTCCTCCTCATAGCCATCAGCAGTAGAATTTCTCTTCTGCTTGTCGTTATCATCATTAGTGACGAAAATTTTATGGTCCTCACAATACTAACCTTTAACCAGAGGAAAGGAGTAATACAAAAACAAATTCACACTCTTACCGATAAAAGGGAACTTTCAGTATCATTCTTGAAATCGTTGAACCTATCTTTGGTTTGATTAGCTAAAGCATATAATGTTGTTATCCATGAGGTAAGGCGATCAACCTGATGAGAGTCATCGGCAAAATAATTGGAATTATAATTCAGGGAATATTTTCGCTGGTGCACGATTTACCTCAGCCTGGATAGCAGCAGATATGTAACGAATTTAAGAAATAAACGACAATTTTTAAAACCATGTTCTGACGAGTGTTTTATCATCCTAGATCACGCTTCAGAACTTTCCAACTTTCAGAGAAGCTATCCACATTCATCAACTTTATCATGTTTATTTAGAACTTTCCTTGTAATTGCATACATTGTTCTGTTCCTATTATTTGTTTTGTCCAATGAGCATTTTTTTATACACTTTAAATTCAACTTTGTATTTTGCAAAAATCAGAACTGAAGATACAGAAGAACTGTCGAAACATGTTTGAAAAAGTGTCTTGTATTTCCTTAAAGTACCTGTTTGGAATTATTCGTGCTGATTTCTTCCACACTCTGGTGTAAGTTGACAATTGAGGAGTTCAAACTTGATTTCAGTGATGACTCGTTCTCTTTGAACTAGAAAGTAGAAAAATATTGACAAATCATCAGTAATTTTTACCGTTTAATACATGATGACGCAAGCCTGAGAATTGCGCATACCTACAAGTTAACAACAAATGTATTGGATTTTGAAACATTAAATGACAAACTCCCCGGTGAAATTTCCCCAAGAAGAGCCTTTGGCAGAACGAATTAACATGTGAATCGATGATTGCCTCATAGGAAACCTACCTCACTCCTTGTGTTTGCAAGCGTCTTGTTAAGCTTTCCAACGTTGTATAATGACGTCTCCAGGATTGATGACAACTGGGTCGTCGTAAAGGCCAGATCGTCGATCTAAAGAATAACAGGATATTATGAGAATGTTATCATGTACTTATATTCATAAGTGAGACCTTGCAGATGAAGAAAGGAGGAAGCATTCAATCTGAAATGTAAATCCGTCTTCTGACCTTTTCCACAAGAGATGAATTAACGGCAGCTAAAGATTTCTGCAACTTGACGTCTGCATCTTGCAGGTTACTTCTTGTTGAATTAAGCTCCACACCGAAGTCTTGTAGTGCCCCTTTCGTCTGAAATAGAGGGAAGTAGAGGATCATTGCGATCTCTTTATAAAAATTACTCAAGCTCACTCAACCTGCTTTGGAAAACTGAATAGCACTGTTCATGAAATCATGTGACAGAACATTGTGAAGCACGTATGTTCGCTGGGCCACAAGGGCCATGCACTGAAGTAAAAGATACTGCCATTTTGGTCCTGACATGGACAGGTTTGATTTATTGCCTCGTTAAATTTTAGACCCCTTGGTATTCATTTAACAATTAAAGTGCTTAGAGTAAGCAATTTACAAACTTAAAAAGTAGCTGTTTAATTGGGAAACTCTCAATTACGGCATTATATGCTCTTTGACGGTTTTGCTCGCGTTTCCATCCTTTAAGGATCTTAATACATCGTGGAACCATGTAGCAACTAAGAAATCAAAGTCTGAGTTCATCTGTCTGCAACGCGTTTGCAAGGGTCGTCAGTATCCTGGTTGAGAAAGGTAAATAAACACAACAATGTGATAAAGAACGACTAAAACATATATGATATAAAAGGCGGGGGTACCTTGAGCTACATACTTACAACGTTTTCTTCAAGTTTTGGCAGTAATAGACGAATTTCCATCAGCTCTTGGTTTTTCTCTTCCTGTAGATGGAAAAAAAAATACTATTTTGGAAAATTAATCTTGAAAACGACCGATTTCAGCGCTAACTATGGAGTGCTCAAAGGCACGAGTTTGAGTTACTTATGTGTATTCTGGTACAATGAATGACTGTGGCTCCTCTTTTCCACTTTTTAATGAAATGAAAAAATGGTATAATCTATCTCTCAGTATATTGATACTGAGGTAGAACAATCTTGGGTACGGAACCTGTATATATGCCTTTTCCTAAAAAGAAGAAAAGAAATTTGTCTCCTGGAATGAATTTCGGCGACTGCTTACTTGAATATATATCTGGTGCAGAGAGTTGCGTGACAATGCGATCAAAAACTCGCAGCGCAAGATTTTATATTTCAATATCTTTCTTACTATTCACTTTACTCCGCGTACGTATTTTTTCGATTACGGACTGAGGAATCCATGCACTCAAAAGTTACCTCCTCATTTCACATTTACTCACCAAACGTATCTGAAGACTTGTGACATTCTCCTCCAACCCCTTGATTCTGTCTAATATTTCAGTAAGTGAGGCAGAAGCCGAACTGCGAGTTCCAGAAGAATCGTCTGGAGAAGCGTGAATAAACATTTGTGACTAACCGATTTTGAGGTTCGTCTGGTAGGTCATAGACCGATTTTTTGCGCTCGGATTTATGGCCCAGGCGCTAGGGTTATAAATCCGAGCGGAAAATGTAGAAAGGACTGCGATCTTAGTAAAATATTTATTATATCTTTGGGTTCAAATGGAGGGGGAAGATTTCATTTTAAAAAAGATTTTTAATTTAGCAGTCCTTACAGTGTACGTACTTACTGAGTGAAGTTATAAGAGATTCTCACTCGGGTGAGCCGTTGCAATTAGCCGTACAACAGCAAAATAACTTCGCCGTTGGTCGTAAAAATTGCCGGAAAAACTTTAACTGTTAGTCTTAAAAAAATGTTGACGGTCAATAACTTTTCCTATCTTCAAGGCCATTTCGGACTAACTGTTGGCAGTAAAATGGCAAAAACTTTAACTATAAGCTGTAAAAGCTGTCACGCCATTGAGACCCTCTTGTAACAACATTCATCTTTGATCCACATGTGAACAAGAATCAACTTACATTAGTTCTGACCAGATCAGGGGATTCTGTATATAATATCAGGTACACTAGCTATGGTTGGAATATGATAACAGTCCTTTTTACAAAACAAGCGCACATCGAACTTTGCCATTAATTTCCAGGGCCCAGTTGTATAAAGGGTGGATAACGCTATCCAACAGATAAATCGCTATCCAGCGGATAAGTCATAGTAAAACGTATAGCACTATCCACCGGATAGAGATTTATCCAGTGGATAGAGTTATCCGATCTTCGAACAACCGGGGCCAGATCATTTCGATTCGACTGAAGTCCGGCACCGAGTCATAGGCTTTAAAAATGCAGCAGTTCTTAATTACTTAGAGCTATTTTTTTTTAATTTCAGTCTTAAGAACGCAGGTAATTAGATTCTTTGAAGAGAAAACTCGACTTTAAGTATCATTCTTCAACTGATCCGACCGCAAAGGAAACGCCGCCATCGGTCTTGTAACCACTACGCCGTGATGTTTGCTAAAATCATTAACGGAGTGAGCCAGATTTGCATTAAAAAAAAGAGACGATTGGAGTCAATGTCATGCAAGTTTTTTTTATCTTCATTATTATTTTTCCTTGGTTCTCACTGTTCAGATTTATCCAGTAAAGGCAGACCAAGAGGTGGTGCCTGAATTTAGGTCCTATCAGCTCACATTGGCTTGAGTTTTCAACTTTCTGACTTTATTAATTTACTTCTCAGTAAATCAGGTAAATAATTCATATTTTTGATTATGTCAGTAATTAAAGCTGCCATTAGCATTTACTAAGAATGTTCTTTCAGATCTCTATGAGTATTGTTCGAACTTTCACACCCAAGACCGGAATGCCACTTTGTACGATCTTAATACATGACAATCTGATATATGCTTTCCATTTCTTTGTTGCTAAGTGCTATGTATTTAACGTTATCTGTATGAATAATATATTTTGCTATTCTCGCAGCTTCTCTTTTTGACAGTGTATTAAAGTTTGTAGTCACGGTATAAATAAGTGAGAAGATGATATAATTTGCACGAATCATTTAATTATTTCTAGATACCTTCATCTATTTTAGTTAAGTTACCTAAATTAGAGCATAGACACTCGCTACCTTAGAGTAGTAGGATCAAAGTTTAAACTACATCATTTGACTAGAGAGATAAAACCTTAAAAAAAATTGGTCACAAATTTTTGGTACAAGATGCAAATCGTTTCTGCTTGTGCATAGACTAAACTCAAGCACTGGCCCCGGTATTTTGAAGGGTTGATAACGCTATCCACTGAATTAATCTCTTTCTTGTAGACAGCATCGTACGTTTTGTGAACACTTATCCACTGGATAGCGATTTATCCATCGGATAGCGTTATTCTCTCTTTGAACAATTGGACCCTGAAGTTTAAAATGCATAATGTGACTGCTACCGTGTATGTCTGCTTTCGAAATTGTTTATGAGGAATTCATCCCACTGAAGTCTAAATGAACGTTCTCTGAATCTTACCGATTTTCTGTATGAAGAGTTACGGGCAAAAATTTCTACGCATGCATTGGCAAGACTTTAAGACAGATCACGAAAACTGACTGGTTTATGAATTTAAATGCAAGCTATCATTATTAAAATAAAAAATGACTGTACAAATGAACGTTCAAGCAAGACCATATGTTTTAGTAGCCCGTCTCTAATTACTATACGCAAATACATTTTTTTGATTAAAAAAAAAATTCTATAATGCTATTTAGCTTAACTCCAAACCAGATGAAGAATGCTTCAAATACAGAAAACACTTAAACCTGAAATTTCGACAATCACAGGAATGAGACATGCAGCTCATACGGCTTTTAGGCAAGAAAATAATGTGCTAACCTTGGTTTACAGGACAGCTACAACCCTTCAATACTCCTCCAACGAATATCATAAGGATCATCACAAATATTACGAAAGACACCAAGCACACAAGAGTCAAGAGGGTCAACTGCGACCGGTTTGATCGCACAGGAGGTTTCCTCTTGCCTTGTGCTTTACTCTCATATTGTGCCTGGCGAGAATTCCTCGTTCTAGTAGGAGCAGTGACTTCCGCGCGGTACGGCAATGGACGCGAAAAATTCGAAGGCGATGGTGGAATGCTGTTTTCGTAAATCCAATCGTCGAAAGTTGGGTTAACAAACATCGGTCTTTCATGAACATCCATCGCAAACCTGTTTTTGTTTCAAGTTTCAGTCACAATGTCGGCTGATGTGGTTTTCCTTAAGAACTATTCCTTTTTTTGCTGAACATGCATTTTAGGTCGATAGATGCACCCGAAACAACGTTTCATTAATCTTAAACGTTACGCTGTCTATGACCCCATGTGTACTTTACTTGTTTGTGTAATCTCATTAATAAGAAAAAATTGCTTTGTGATGCTTTGCATGCCATTTCGTGTTGATCCCAGTTAAGCTCACTAATACCTGTGTGCCTCCATAAATGTACGTCAAAAGTATTGATTTGGCTCGTTTTTATAAGATTTTGTGGATTAACTTGTTAACTTAATGCACTCATAAAATTTTTTTACGGCGGCAATTGCTTATCAAACACATTAAGGTCAAACGCAGAGATGAGGAAAGGAAGCTTAAGATTTAAAACGTGACAGCAAAAAGTTCATCGTAAGCCAATGTCGAAATAGGTAGCTGTTTTCCGACAGGCCTTACAAACTTTAATTAACCAAAAGAGCGGCTTTTGTACGGTCTTTACTCTGTTGAAATCATTGGAACATTTGGCTTTCCTGACTATTGATGACCGGTACACACAGCTGAATTCCAGCGCTGGAAATTTTTTCGTCTCGCACAAAAATATTTCGAAGCTATTTAACGGAAAGTGAAAAGTCTAAAAGCCTTAATACCCAATTATACTAGTTCATTTCTTTATTTAGCTGCCAGACGAGTACAGAAGTAAAAGCTAGAAACTGCGATGTGAATTATATTTAGTCAAGCAACTGCTGGATCGGTTCAACTTAAAAAACAATAGGTGCAAAACCTCTAATACTCATACTGATCTGAGTGGTTCTCATCATCATGACCAATAAAGCCTTCGACCCCATCCATGTTACTCCCAGGAGTGACCAAAAAATAAAATTCGAAAACAGCCTTTTAAATATTTTATTGAAATGCTATAAACAAAAAGAAGAATATTCAACAATTGAATGTCGTGGATGTTGTTAGATTGTTCGCCAAGTTTCTATAATTACATAGTAAGATAATTACAAAGTTTGTAGGACAGTGCGAAGAATCGATGTTTAGACTTTGGGAATGAGGGTATGGTTTTGATGTTTTAAGGAAAATTATTCGCCTCTCTGCCATTTTTTCGTCTCCGCCACTTTTTAATTTATCATTATGGAGAGACCGGATCACCATTTACAGGCGTTTATTAATGACTGCAAATCAAGTCTTGAGCTATATGAAAGATCATTTTGTACTCAACGTTTTCATAAGTTTTCATACAACAGAAATATAGAGCACAATTTATGATGGTTGTCGGACTGAGTGGCGAGACTAATTGGGTATGTTGTAACAAGAGTGATTTTAAAAAAATTCACAGCTACAATCAAGTCTGGGAAAGTAAATTCGTTTGAATACTCTCACTATATGATATTTACAAAACATTTCTCTTTCTAAGAGAGAAGAACACCAGGTGAAAACGCAACTGCATCTTTAATTTCGATAAATGAAAAAGAACATCAGTTTCATTAACTACTGACATTTTGCATTTTTTTTGCTTATTTAGCAAGTATCGCCCGACCCCATCCTGAAGTACAATGCATTTTCTTCGTCACATAAGGTAATAGATGGCGTGTCACTTTTATGTTGTTAAGGGACATAACCAATAATGCATAAAGCATTGAATACTTTTGATTGTCCCAACACTTCCTTGATTTCCATAGCACTCACAGCGGTACACTTGGTTGTTTGTAGATGGAGCAATCTCAGCTTCCAAGATATACAGTTGGGCGAAGTCTGTTGAGCATGTGACACCAACTATTCTTTTATCCTGTATAATGGTTGAAAAAGGGAGATAAAACAAAATCATATCTAAATGATGTCATGCTGGTATGCTGTTGAGCGTACTTCGTAAAGCACTTTTCTCTTCATTTTCATTTGAGGAATGGCTGCGTGGAACAGAACTGCTCGGATAGGCGAGCCTTTATCTATGAATGTGACGTTTTCTTGTTCAAAAAGCATTATTGTTTGATATAATTCAGCTTTTGCTAACAACACAATTGAAATTTTGCATCTATCTTTTGTTTTGTATTTCTTTTTACAGTAATATTGGATTTTATCATCGAATTAAATTCATCATCACGCTTTTGAGATATGCGTGATGAGATTTTTTATCTATTTTTTTTCACATTGTCGAGTTTATAAGGTCTCGTATTTCATTTTACTTACAGTTGGTTCAGTTAGGATGACTTTAGTTGCAGCTGGAAGAGTGTTGCCTTGGAAAGCAGTCTGGGATCCTGTGTCCGTGCTAGTCATGAACTCACATTGTGAAAAGTCTCCTTCTCCAGGGGGTCCTGAGGGTCCCGCGGCTCCTTGGAGTCCATCTGATCCCAGTGACCCTTGTGATTCGTTAGAACCCTGTGGACCTATCACCCCCTGGGGACCCTGTGTTCCATTGAATCCCTGAGGTCCGGCTGGTCCAACCGGTCCTTGAGAGCCGTTAAAACCGCGTGGTCCAACGGGGCCCTGTAGCTTACTCACATTCTCTACCTGGAAGAGAAACATAAGAATTTAACTCCATAATTTAACAAACAAGCTAAAACAAACACACAAGCCAGAAAAGAAAAAAAAAACAAAAAGGAAAAACGCTAAAAAAAAAATAATAATAAATAGGGAAATAAAAAAATAAAAAATAAATTAAAAAAAAAAAGAGAGAGAGAGAGAAAAAGACTCTGATATAAAAAAAAAATTATTTCGGTAACTTCTAATACCTTCAAAGACAAAGTTGCGTTGATGTCGTTAATAAGGGATTTTATGCTGACGTCTTCTTGATCAAGTCTTTCGGTGGTGCTGTTGAGCTGTTTAACATAACGATTCAGATTACAAGTGCAATAAGTATGCAACCTTCCAAATTGCAATGCTACGGTGTGGGATTTTGAGGCGTTTTAAGTACTGCCCGGTATCATACGAGTTTGGTCGACTGGACTTTGATTCAGTTGTCGTATATGTTCCGAATCAACAAATATAGCCTACGATGGTTGATTGCTGTATGTACGATTCATGAACTAGGACTAAAATCTTAACGATATTTACCCTCTCCTTAGGGTTAGTCTCTAGCATGAAGAACTGACCAAGTCGTGCTTCGTTTTAGTTGTCTCATTATTGTACGTTCAAGTACCCGACGCAAGCTAAAGGTTACATCAAACTCAAGGAATGTTGGATTTCTTTCGACACCCACTCAAAAACCGTTTTCACAAGAATTAATCATTTCCACCATGGGTAGGTAAATGACTCAAGGTCGGCTCATGAAAAATCGTGATTTCTTTATATTTAAAATTTGCAAAGGATAACGCTTTCTCTCACCCAAAGGTCTGCACTTGCAATCCTTGAAGCTAATTCGTCCTTCGTTGAGTTCACCGTTTTCTCCAAGTTATTGAGCCCGTTATTCACCTGCGGTAAAAACACAATTGAGCATGATCAGAGCTAAAGTGTGATTTACATTTTTACACCAATTCAAGTTTTTTTTTGCCACCATTCTGTTGTGGAATATTTTAAAGCTAGGATTATTGACTTCTGTTTGTTCAGGTGAACAGTTTAATATGATTCATTATTTAAATTATTTAGTTTTCAATGCTCATACAGCCGCGCTATAGGTTTCTAAGCGAAGCTTTGCTATCATCTGAAGCCTCTGAATGCTTTTTTTTTTACATAGGATCAACTTTAGGAATGGCCTTGGCATTCTAAAAGTAAAAATTGGTTCTTTATAAAAATATCACATAAGGAAAAGAGGAGTTGTTCAGATCATAAAATGTGTTGTTGAATCCTTCACCACAGCCTTTCTTTCATTTCCTTGAAATGAAGTTAACAAGGAAGTATGAGAAACCCGCGACAACTTAAGAACCCTTTTTTTTCCGTTAGTCAGCTCATGTTATCTTCGCTGTCTTGTCTTCATTGATAACTGAAAATCGATATCTTTGCCACCATATTAGCAGCTGTCACCATTTCTATAACAAGTGCTTTTCCTGATCCCCTCTATGTTTTCCTTGTCATAATTCTTATTGTCATTTTCATAATAAAATTTTCAAAATCACTATCCGCCATCATCTCAAACTTGAACCTAATGCGTTCACACATTACAAAAGTAAAAGGGCTCATCTGCAAGCTTACCAGTATAAGAGAATTTTCAGTGTTCATCTTGAAATTATTAAAGCTTTCCTTTGTTTCGTTAGACTGCCAATGGACTGCAGTAATGGTTGGCTAATGCTGTTGACCTAACGATAACAATGGATTCAAGCATGATTAATAGTGAAAAATCCTGTACCTGTAAGAAATTCTGCAACTTTACTAGATGTCTGGGGTGCTAAAAGGCATATAACACACAATGCTTAAGTCTCTTTTTTTCATTTATGTACTGTTAAGCTTCATGCTGTCTTCCTATATTGAAATTTGGACGCTCTCTTCACAATAAACAGCACACAAACCGTTTGACACCGAAGACTGTGTTTTGTTGTTGTAGTTGTTCTCATATTTATCTGTTTGTTCCGATTATGTGAAGGTCATGAAATTTCGTCCTAAAAACATCAGCGAATTAAAGGAACCTGGGCTCTGATTATCTAAAGTAAGATACAACAAACAAATTATCTTTGCTTGGTACATAGCACTATTTTAAGTCCACACTATTGAGGTCCTATATACTTATCAAGTTTATCAGTAAAAATAAGTTAAGCGACTTGTTGATATTTTTGCTCTGTACATGTCTTTCTAAGTTGCACACCTGGCCTGCAAAACTTGTATTAAGCTCTTCAACTTTGTTTTGTAAGTTGCCAGTGGAAGATTTTAGATCTTCATCGGTAGAGTTCAAACGTGCTTCCATGGACGACAGGTGACCTTGAAACTAAAGAGAACATTTTCTAAGTAATTTTAATCATAGCAGTTTTTATCAACACTGATAGGTCCCATTAATCTATTGGGAGAATTTGTAAATAATCGCTCAGTACTGCAGTCGTTTACTTCTTCGTTACAGACTTGCGAATTGAAATTTCAAAAATAATCCAAATATCAGCATTTATATTGACATAAAATATATATATATAATATAAAATATTGACAGTACCATTACGAATTGTATTATGTAACCTCAAATGCTGTTATCTTAAAATTCCTTTGAATGAAAAATCCTGAAAATTGTTGTTTAAAAAAAAAAGATCGGCTCAAAGATTGGGGGGGAGGGGGGATGTTCTAAAACTTTTTAACTAATCCTTTCCACAACCAGCGATGGAGAATGTATGTCCAAGAGAAGACGAAATCAGAGCCAAAAAAAATCTTCTTTAATACTTCTAGTCAACGACCGTGGCAGACAATTATTTGGCGTTTTCAGTTAATTTACATCCGTATAAATGGTTCAAGGTTGCTTGTAAAACTACTTCTGTAAAAACGGCGATAAACTTTAACCTTAACCGGTACTGTTGATCTGTGTATCGTTCAAGCTATCTAGGTTACTCTGTGTTGTGGCCAGGATCGATGATAGCTGAACTGTGAGTGAGTCTACGTGAACAGAGTAAAATAGGAGAGCGAGCTGGGCTAAAAAAGCCGGACTGATAATGAGGGGGAAATTAGAAGAAAACTAAAGAGCGTTAGCCTCTCGGTGGAATCACATAAATTTATCTGGACGCCACCAAATCCTCTGACCTCATATCACCCCACTCCCCCCCCCCTCCCCTCCCCCTCCTCCCAAGGTGAAAAATGATGACCGGTCCGTAGATATCCGTATCTTGACAAGTATAAGAAAAGTGTATAATCTGTAAACTTATAGAAAAACACAACAATAAACCTGAACTCAACATAAATAAAAGCAAACGAAACCTGAACTGACGCAGAACTAAACGAGAACTGAAGAAAAAATTTTAAAAAATGCAAATAAGACCTAACATTAAATTAAAAAAAAAGGCAAACATTAAAAAAAACAAATTGAACAAAAGCTAGTAAGACACGAAAATTGAACTGAACAAAAAGCGAAAAGCACTTACAAAGGCAATTATGAATAGCTGGTAATCGTGGTGCCTACAGTAACAGATAATTTGTATCATCAAAAGGCGGGGGCAGATTATTTAAAATGGCATACGGTCAATTCACCTCTCAAGCTTTAGACTTCACGTGTAGTGTCACGTGACTTTTGATGTAAACAGACCGCGAAAGTTCAGACATGGAGTAAACAACCCACTACCCGAGTGCGAACTTCGGCTTCGGCGTTTTTGTTGTTAAATTTCCCAAAGTCGTGAAGCGTTTCTATGCCTTTTTTTTTTTTGTTTTTTTTTTGTTTCATATGTTTGAAAGCGAGTTGATATTGCGCTACCGCTAAAGTAGATGCGAAGAATTAAGCAGGAAGCGTTCCGGCACGGAATAATCAAACTAGCTCTGCGTGCGTACAGTGATCTATCTTATCAGGTATTTTCAGGGCATTAAGCGCGTAGATTTTCAAATAAAACCACGTCTGATGGAAAAGTAAAAGGTGAATTATCGTCCACAAAAAACTCACCACCACAAAACTCACCGCCACTTGAGAGTCAAATCGCCAGCCTAATCGTTAAAAGAGGCCTGTGATATGGGACCTAACGAATGAAATCTAAATTGTAGTAGTATATTGCAAAATGGGAAAGGGAAACAGAGGTTATGTCTAGCTTCTCCATTATGGAATGTTAACCGTTAAATGAAATAATTTGTTGATATCACGAAGATTTTGATCAGTTTGCATAAAGCGAAACCAGAGTGATTTCCGCCGAGTAATATTAGCCAACTGATTTTCGCCTAGTGATATTAGCCAAGTGCTTTTCGCTGATGTTTATGAAATCGTATGAAACTTAGGTCGAATAAAGGCTAAGAAGTAGCAGTAAACTGCGACGAAAGTGTGTAACAATAGCCAATTTTGACGGAAGAAAGCAATAAAATTTTTACGATGGTGATCTAAAAAGATTTCAGATTACTGTAGAACGTGCAAGAGTTTGTTACCGCAAATGTGGAACTATAGGAGTTGAAAAAAAGGGGTTTCTTTTAAACACGAAGGGGAGTTGGGAGAGTTCGAGAAAGTTGTGCAAACGCTGGACACTTTTATGAAATATTTCTCTCCAATAAAATGTCATAAGTTAATTTACCTCTTGATTTATGTAGATTTTCTTAATACATGCTCAGGAAGATGGCATTTCCAACTAGCCAGTCACATTGCAGATCGTACAACGCACAAACCAATCAAAATTCACCTCATAAAAAATTTGAAAGCCAAAAGAAGGCAACCGATCGGCTGTGATATTGCTTTTAGACAAATAGAGAATATGGCACAGAGCTTGACGTACGTTTTCGTGAAAATTTTGCTATAAACATGATGCAGATTGTCTCGAAGGGGACTTTATCGTAGTAACTAAATGCACAAATTTCCTTGGAAATTTTCCCTTGGACTCAGGGTGGAAAAGATATCTCAACATGCAATCAAAATTTGGTAAAATGTTCTCCATTTCTAATAAATTTTATTTGTTCTTGAAACCACTTTGCGGGTATTTCGAAAGAATGACGTCACAACGGTTTTGCATGTGCATCTCAGTTCAACTCACCAGTTGACCAAAGATAGTGCGCGTACTATCTCCATTATCTATATGAAGTTTCTCATTCCAAACACTCCTTATTTCAGCTGATGATAATGGCGGAAGTTACTCCAGAGCCTTGCTTACCTTCTGGTTATGACGATGAATTCGTAGAGCCAGTAAATGGAAGTTTGCAAAGTGGAATATGTCGGTGGCCGATGAAAGATCCGAGAATTACTCGTTGTGGCCACCATTTTTGCCAAGGATGTATCGTGGAGCATTTACGAAGGCATTGCAATCTGTGCCGTGATAGATCGCGGATGGTGTTCCTTGTAATTCTGATTGTAAACTCCTATAGTCCCACATTTTTATATTTTACAGATCTCATTGCAAAGCGTTGATAGCGAGGGAGTTCTAATTATTGCTTCCTTCCGCCATTGTATTTCCTTTGTTAAGCGCATTTTTATGTTTTCGGCAATCGAATTGGCTATTCTTACGCACTTTTTGTCGCAATTTATCACCACTTCTTAGCTTTTATTCGACGTAAGATTCATACGACTTCATAAAAATCGGCGGAAATCACTTGGCTAATATCACTCGGCAAAAATCACTCTGGTTTCGCTTTACACAAACTGATCATAATCTTTGTGATATCAACAATATATTTCATTTAACGGTTAACGTTCCATATTTGAGGAGCCATACTTAACTTCTGAGTCCCTTTCCCATTTTGCAATATACTACTACAATTTAGACTTCATTTGATGTAAGTTTCGGATGACAGGCTACTCTTAAGGTTTAAGCTAGCGATTTGACTCTCAAGTGATGGCGAGTTTTGTGGTGGGGAGTTTATTGTGGTGGGGAGTTTATTGTGGTGGGGAGTTTATTGTGGTGGGGAGTTTATTGTGGTGGCGAATTGACCGGATACCATTTTTACTATATCTGCACCCGCCTTTTGATGAAATGAATTTTCTGTTATTGTAGGCGCCAGTATTACCCACTACACGTAATTGCCTTTGCACTTGTATTTCGCTTTTTGCTTAGCTAAGTTTTCGCGTTTTCGTAGTTTTCGTTCCATTTGTTTTTTTAATGTTTGCTTCCTTTGATATGTGAGGTTTTATTTACATTTTGTTCAATTAATTTTTTTGTTATTTCTCGTTTAGTTCTGCGTCAGTTCAGGTTTTGTTTGCTTCTGTTTAATTAAGTTGAGTTCAGATTTATTTCTGTCTGTTTAAGTCCCTTGGACTGGTTTTTTACCGCTTTGCTTCGCCTCGATCGCTTACGTGTAGCTTCTTTTTCGCGTCGTTATAACTATTATCACATGACGAGCTTTGCCAACCTGAAAAAAATTATGCAAATTAATCTAAGGCGGATTTGAGATCCGCCTAGCAATTATTAGCTGTAAGAGAGTTACTTGGTAGTCACGTCACACAGTATTAACAGGCGGAAGAGTCCTAAATTTAAGTAGCACTCGTCCACGCGCAAGCCGCGCGGATCCTGCAACTTTAATTAATTTCGCGTTCGAAGCCAAACACCTCTCTTTCACTTGCTAATTGAGTCCTCTCGCTTTACGTTGACAAGCCTTTGGACCATTTTACGCTTTCTGGTGAGAATTTTTTTCTTGAGCAAAGCTTGTCATGTTTGATTCGATTTGCTTTGGAAGGTGCAATAAGTGTTAGCTTGTGAGTATATTGTGGCTAAAATTATGGTAATATTTCTGATAGGTTTGAGGGAGATTTTCTCCTCCAGCTTATAAGTTGTAATGACTTGTTATTGAAAAGTTGTGCAACCAAAGATTAATCTTGGAAATTTCACTGCGTTAAGTTCCAACGATTCTTAGGCGTACAGAGAGGACAATCTTTAATTAAGCATAGCTTTGTATTCCTTTAGTTCCGTTTCGTTTGAGTTGTACCTTAATTATTGTATATTGTTAGTTTTATCTTGCGCTCGTGTATTTTTCAGTTAATGAAACTGTTGTTCGCGGCCTTAGTAATTTCGTGTCACTTAAATTCGCCTTTTGTTTGTATTTTAGTTTGACATTATCAAACACAAGTGGAATTACTCACATTGGATCCTACGTCCCTTGATTAATGTTCAACGACCCTCCAACCTTTGCGACGCCTAGAGTTTTAGTACATTGCTGAAGCTGAATAAGAAGAACAAGTGAGCTGTAGTTCCTATTCATTGTTTCTGCCGTGAAATCGGGTAATTATTTTCACAGGGAATAAGTTAAAGTCAGAATGGCTTTTTCCCCCTAGACCGAAAAGCCGTGGGTCGAGAAAAGGTATTTATACATTTTTTATTTTATTTAAGAATTCAGTGATTGGTGCGACATGGAGGAAAACAATGTTTATTTTTAGGATTCTTAGCTTATTAATTTCTAAGCTGTACATACCTGAAATACGCTTTCGGGGAGTCTTTCCAAGTCCGTTCAATTTAGACATTTGTACCGTAAATTGCAGAACAGAAACTGAAAAAATTGAATGAGAAAAAGCCACATTAAATCCCCTTGTGTAAGATCATTGACTCTTTTTGAAGAAAACATTGTCGTGACAGTCCTTGCCAAACTAGTTCCGTTGTTTTTTTTCAAAAGTGTACTTGCATTTTTTTTTCTTATGCGCTCTCTAATTGACTGGTGTCAGTCTGTGACAGGTAGTTGTAAAAATAATGTTTCAAAGTTTGTTGGGAAGCCTTTTAAATCACCTTTATCGTTACGCAAATGAGCATAAGAATGCTCTGCATGCAAGAGTTTTTTTGGGGGGTGTGGATTACTTGAAACATTGTAAGTGATATCTACATTCTTACAAAAGGAAAGAGGAGTATTGACGTGGAAGAGAACGAAAATGTCGAATCAACTCACACACAGGTGTTTTGTGGTAGATTGTGCGTGTTGTGCGAATAACTGTAACCAAAAGTAAACTGTATTGGTGCCACGGATACCTGTTAGTACAAAATGCCGACTAGGTAAAAAATGTAGACGACAGACCGCAGAGTGGGTACAAAGTGCAGACTGACAATCTATAAAGTGTTTACGTCTGGTATGTGGTAACATGTCATCTTACAACTTACAAAGCGTCACGCAATCACTTTTCCGCGATCAGCTTTCACGATTATTTCCACTATTGTGGAACGTTCCTGGCCCACTTCTTAATGAAAGTCGATCGTAACGTAATTTGAAGCCTTCAGATAGTCTTCTCACTTTGCGCGCGAGTTGGTTGGTGTGACGTCTGTACAGATTTTACCAATGTAATAAAAGTAGACAGTATGTAGATTAAATGAGATGTCACTATTGAATATTTAACACGCGCAACATTCGAGAAACAATTGCCAGCTTTGCACGTGGTCCTTATTATTATCTTTTTAAGCGGTATGAGTTTATTTTGTTGGCAAAAATGCAGACCGAGACCAAAACTGTTCCTTCGACTTGACATATATTCGACGTTAGTAGATCGCATCATATAAACTTACCTCCGTAAATCATTCATTCCAGATAACAAAATCAAATAAACATGCTAACGATGGTATCTGAATTCGTCCTTGGCCAAGCACAAATGACTCCTCAAGATCATTTCCTCCAGCTATCGAAAACATATACAAAATCGACCATAGTTAATTTTAATCAGACATTCACACCTGATGACAAAGTATGTCACTTGAAGCAGTCAAGCCGTCAATCATTTTTCGCGGTAAAATCAGCCATGCATATCACAAATACGATTGCTCGCCTTTGCAAAGGAAAAAGGTTTTTTATATTTTCCTATTTATTTTGATGTTACTTTAGCCCAAAGAGTTTTAACATTACAAGAAATGCATTAATACTTCGTTGTTAACGAGTACTTGGCAGCAACATAAAGCAACAAGTGACATCTTGTGTATTACTGTAGAACGGTGCGACAATGTAGTTTTCGGCAAAGAAATCATCGTAGGGCTTACAGAAGAATGCATACGAGAAGCGTTCACCTGTAAGCGTCGAAGTAAGAGTTGGAGTAGCGCTGTGGAGGCTAGCATCGGGGGACAGCTTCAAAAGCTACGGACTGCAATTTGGACCTGGGATGTCCACCGCTAGTATACTATCTATACCGAATTCGAACGTTCTCTTCCACAACTAAAAGACCAGTATATAATTAATAAGATTCCAATAACAAGATAAGAGTTAGAGGAACTTTTGGATGAGTTTGAAGAGTAATACGGGATTCCGCAAATTGTTGGCGCTATAGAAGGTCGTTACATCGAAATAAATGCTCCTCCAGATAACCACGAGGACTATTTCAATACAAAAAATTTTCAAAAAATTTATTCGTGTTAGCTTCGGGTATCTTGGAAGCATACACGATGCCAGGGTTTTAAGATTAAGTGGCCTTTTTCATTTAGGAGAAACGAACAACTTTAATATCATCAAAGAAAGTTGTCAGTGGAACAGAAATTCACCCTTTTATTATAGGAGACAGCGCGTATCCACTGTTGAAATGGCTTGTCAAACCTTATCCTAGTAGAGGGCATCTTACACCAGATGAACGTGAATTTAACGAAAAGATTATTGCTGCAAGATCTGTTGTTGAAAGGGTATTTGGCATGCTAGAGGGACGCTGGCGGTTACTATTAGAGGAAGTTGAGCAGCAAACCAGAACACTTAGTAAACTGTTCTTACTGCATGTGTTTCACATAACATTTGTGTCCATCACAGCGACTTGTACGATTGCAGCGATAGCGATTCAGATGACAGTGATTCTGACAACGATTATGAAGGACCATTGCGCGAGGGCGGCACAGAAGTAAGGGAAGCACTAAAGAACTTTGTGTGGGATAACTTGTAATTATTTAATTCGAATTAGATATCAGTAAGTTATCCCGTACAAAGGTTGAAATTGCTTGTCTTTGTTCGAAGGGAAACGAAAACAAAAAGTGGTTGATTTGCTTGCTGTCGAATTCGTTCATTTTGTTGGGTTTCTTTATCATGGCCAGGTCACAGTGGACCGTGTATTTTACAACTTTTGTAATTAACAACTTTTAAAAATGGGCAAAAAGTGTAATAAACAGGAAATGTGTAAGCTTTAATGACCTATTACAAATTGAGTTTATCAAGCATCAAACATAAACGAATGAATAATCATAATATTAATGGACAATCGTTGCCTGTTTTTTTTGGCATAAAATTAATAAAAGGCCGTAAAGTTCAAATGCCAAATTCTCAGGGAAAAAAATTGAACTGTAAATGAACAGACATTTTCTAGCTCTATTCCTTCATAAAATTCTTCGTTAAATCTTTAAATCCGAACAACAGAGACGCTGTTTGTTCTATTTGGATCTTCTGATTCTCTTGGAACATTTTCATTGACTTTTCAAAACGTTCATTTTCTTAATGAAGACTTATCTCCCACATTTCTTTGAATGCATTTCAGTCATCTGCGGCATTAGCTTCCTCACTTTTCCTCATTTCTTCTTCCTTGATTCCTCACCGCGCACATCATCGCGGCCGCGTTTCACACCAGCGCTTGTTGAAGGTATGAAGGTACTTAGTATAAATGAAGAACTTTCAATTTCCATCTGGGCGGGATCTACGCTGTCTCGGTAGCCCATAGTTTGGTAAAAAAATACTGTAATAAGGAGAGTTCTCATTGATGTCATTCAGTCCCTCTTCGCCCGTTTTGCTTGCTTTGAGCTTAAGCTGCTTGAATTCGTATTTCAAATTTTGCTGTATTTCCTTCACTTGTGAGAAAGTACGCTCATTTTTATCATAGCTGCCCTTGAATTCCTCGAAAATCTCATTCCAAATTGCTGTGCCAAATTGTCGGAAGCTCCTTTCAGTCTTTCAAAACGAGGAGCCTAGCTGTAGCGCTCTTTTGTCTCCTCAATAGACCAGTCAGCTGCTTTTGGTTTCTGTTTCTGTTTCTGTACATGTTTTCCCCATTCTTGTCCTTTGGACAATCCTGACCCGTACATGGGTTGTTTGGAACATTCGCTGCAGCAAGTTGTACTTGTTGAAGTTGTTGAGTTGCGAAGAAATGACCTGCTGGATACATTGGATGTTCCAGTGGCCGATTCGCATTTGTTGCTGGATAAAACGAAAATCTATGGTTTAGGCTGTCTTTGAAAATAGAAGTCAAATAGGATTGCTAGCTTAGCCATTTATATCGACTTTTCTTTCTTTTCTTTAAGTATACTTACATGAAGAATGTTTCATCACGGAGTTCTCACACTCTAATGAGTACCTGAAACCATCCATTTTGAGCTCGCTGGCAAGTTAAATTTAGAAAAAAATTATCTGTCAGTTCATCAGAATCGTGGCACCGCTGCTCGTGGAAAACAGATGGCTTCCATTTCCTATTGGTCAAGTGTGTTGTCAAGTTTGGTGAAGATCATACTTGGCGGCGTACTTCGGATTCTTTGAACTACGAACGTTTCCGTAACTTTTAAATCTTTTAAAAAAATAAAGACATTTTCTTACTTGTGAAAACTGGTTGTATTACACGATCGATTTTCTTTCCAAGGTCGTTTAGTTGCTTGCGAACGGAGTCGGCAGATTTCTGATCTTTGAAAGGCAAGGTTATTAATACAGGGCTGTCAATTGGCTCAATACAGCTTTGGTTCAGATCTTGGGAGGCGTGAAATCTCATAAAAATGGAATCAATAAGTTTTACAGGATATTTTAATTTCAGAAACATTTTCCTTAGATCGTAGCATTCTTTGGAGAAGAGGTCTGGTGAGGATAACAGACGTTTAGCACGATCAAGCATAGTTCTTATTAGCGATCGTTTATACCTGTTGTCTACATGGCTCTGATAATGGAGTAAAAGCCCTTTGTTGGTCTTTTTTCTGTAAACAGGGGTGTTAAAGTGGTTGTCGGTCTTAGTGATTACCATGCCTACGAAGGGTAAGCTGTTGTTGACAGCTGTTTCCATTGTAAATTGGATTGCCGGGTGCGCATCATTCAGAATTGAAAGGAAATCGCTAGCAGCGGTAAGGTCAGGTACTAGAGCAAAGGTGTCATCAACGTATCTTCTGTAGAAATTGGGAAGTTTGTTTTCATGTGCAAGTTTCTCCTCGATGGAGCACATAAAGGTGTTTGCCATTAGTGGTCCTAATGGTGAGCCCATCGCAACACCGTCTATTTGTTCGTACAAGTCGCCGTTAAACTGGAAAAGTTGAACTTTGTTTGCAATTGTAGGCAGTTTGATTAGGTCTCCTTCACAAATGTTAAGGTTGTGTGTATTGTTAAACCAGTTCCCATTGAATGCTTTCTTTGCTAAAATCTGAATAGTTTCTTCTAGCGGAACGTTAGTGAAGAGGGCTGTGACATCGTGCGACACCAAGAAATCATTGTCACCGATTTGTAGATGTTGGATCTCTTCGGAGAAATGGAAGATGTCGGAAATCGTGTACTCGTTGATAGATAAGGGTTTCAACTTCTCGTCCAACCACTTCGCCAGAGTATAGTTGTATGTATCTGTTGCAGACAAAATGGGTCGCATGGCAATACGTTCTTTATGGCTCTTAGGAGACCATAAAGATGGGCTAGTCTTGAGCTTTTCTTGCAGACGGAATCTGCTATTTCATTGGGAAGGATTCTTCTGACAACCGATTCAAGGTGCTTTTCTTTCTCGAACAATGGGTGGTAGTACTTTGGAGGTCTTGCTCTCGTTGGGGGTCTCTCTAATCCGACTGGTGTGAACGCTAATGGGTTGTGTATGAATTTCAATGTAATTCGTGTGATTCGAATTATATAGGCTATACGAGCCGTCACCTTCACCTGCGCATTGAGGAGCATAAGTATTCCGTCATCGGTAAACACCTACAGGATAAACACAATCAAAAACCTACCAATCTTCACGAGCAGTTTACCATCTTAAAGAAATGCCACGGAAAATTTGAGTGCCTTATTTACGAGATGCTTTTGATAAGGAAAAAGAGACCGACTCTGAACACTCAAAATGACTCCATTCCAGCGAAACTGTTTATTTAAAATATTTTTCCATTCTTTTGTTTTATTCCCGCCTCGTTTATTCTAATGTAATTTGTCACTTACTATTGTATATATAACGTTCACTATCTTGTTATAATTTTCATTTGATAATGGTGACATGTCGTCGCCGAGACGTCATGTTTTTATATCGCTACTCTTTATTCTAAAACGTTTCTCAAAACCTCTCATCATTAGAAGTAAGTAAATGGCAAGGGAAGTAATTATAAGCAAATTAAATTTTTTTTGAAGTTGTGAGGGTTTGCTCGCTTGTTTGCTGCGATGGGGTATGTAAACCTGATCTTTCCTCCACAAAAACTGAATTTGACACTTCAACTAAACACGAAGGCATTTAATGCGGCTTTTTCTCATTGAATTCCTTTCTTGGTATTCTTTGTGAAGGATTAAAATTAATAACAGACGGTTTTTAGGCCACTTCTCAACCATTTTAATGACACTTACATATACAAATTCATTTCGAAACCAATATTTTTCTGTCAACCATTTTTCAGAGAAAGAAAAGAGAGGAGTAATATATTTTTTTCAGGTCCTATTTACAACTACTCGTTTCAGTATTGTTCTTACCTGCGAGGATCTCTTAATTTCATCAGAGGACTAATATGTTATTAATCGGCTTAAGGCAGTGATCGACGTCTTTTCTTAAAAATACTGCCCAGCTGGCTAAGCGAAAAATATTTATGAAAAATGGCAGCGAAGGAAGGGATATACTCGGCGACTCACGAAAGCGTTACCGTGCCCGTAGGCAGAGATAGGAAAATTCGGACCGCGCCAAGAACCAATCAGATTGCAGGATTCGTCACAGTACCTTCTAAGAAATAAAATTAAAGTAAACATTGAGTTCGGTAAAGTAATAAAAGATTCATCTTGTATCGAGCCTGAGACAAAAGAAAAGGAGACGAGTGACATCTTTCTCTAATAGTTATTGTTTTGAAAAACAAAGAAAAAATATTCATTCGCTTCAAAATGAAAAAACATCTAAACCTTGACTTCTCGGTTAGGTTGTGGTAAAACAAGTAAATATTTATGTAGCTAAGTGTCAAAATTTCTCGAAGGAAACAAAACTGAAATAAATATAGGTTCTAACTCATTTTAAAAGAATAATTCATGTTTAGAGGGCTCTTCGAGTCCATTACATTGAATTAGGCTGCCATTCAGAAATCAGTCAGTTATAATTACAATCAAACTGAAAACTGACCAGGCGCCACTGGCTTCGATCCGAACCAGCTGTCTGGTCTCTTTCCTATCTTAAAATGGTCGAAGTTATTACACACCCGTTTCAGGTGGGAACAAGGAGCTTCGTTGCAGATAACTTGATTCCGCTTTCGTTTCTGTGGAGTTAAACTAAGAGATTTCGATGTTAAGGACTTGAAAACGTAGCAGAACAGAATAGATAAGTAACAGATTAAGATGGAGTTGTTTGCAGATGACCTGATAGCAGTTCTAGGAAATGAATCTAAAATGTTTCTGGGTAACACCGATCGATCTGCTAGCGATTTTGTATCAATTATGACAAAATGGAATTATGTTTCTTTGGTAGTTCTGTCGTAATGTTTAACCATTTCAATGAACTTGATAGGAAAATGAAGGTGAAAAGGCGTTAAAAATTTGAATTTCTCTAATAAAAACCTATGGAATGAAAACATTTATTCTTATCTAAGGGAACCTTAAGTTGTGGAAATGGATGAATTCAGCCATTTTTATCTAAGATTCACTGTCCCAATATTTATGTATGGCGCTGGGCTAATTAGTTTAGAGAAGCTGTGATTAAGGAAGTCAATAGCTCTTCAGGATCCTCCTCCCCGTGGCTTTTCCCCTTAATGTACAAGTATTGCAGACTTTCATCTGCTGGGTGGCATCACAAAAAATAAGTCTTTACAAACATATGATAGTGTAGTTTCTATATCACATTGTATATCACTTAGGTCAAAATAATTTTGATGAAAGAAACTCGGATTTCGGAATGTGTTTACGAAACTAATGTGTTATAAAATTTGGATACGCTTTTGTCACCCGTACAAAACCTGCCAAAAATACGACAGGTAGGAATTTCACTTTATTGAGGTAATTCCGATGACTCAACTGACTCTTATGGCAGTTGTCAGTAGCTTCACCTGTCTCAGTTCATTATTGAAGTCGCAGTCGGTGGCATTTCGAAAAGAAACTGATTAGACTGTTTGAAGTAAAGAATCGGAACCAAGAAGTAGACGAATTTTCATGAATCCTTCCAAGAATCTGTTGGGGTTTCTTTTCCTTGCAATCTTGCATTTGACAAGTGGAGAAGGTCAGTTTCTAGCTTCGTTTATATAAATGAAAAAAAGTATTCATTCATCACTCAAATTCTAGGTATTGGTGGTCCCTTTTAAATCAGTGGTAAGGTGTCTAAAGCATCAATGTTTTAGGCTGGGAACCTTTTCCAAGAAGTTTATTTTTCTTTTTTGAGAAGTCATTGCCTAAGTTTGCTTAGCTTTATCTTTTGAGTTCGAGTCCTTATTTCTCTTAAATTTCCCACATTTTTCAATCTGAACACGTTCATCTGTAGTGTTTATGGAAACCGACAAAAGAGTAAAATGGGAAAAAAAGGAAAGTGGGTCACTAAGTAAGAAAAGAAAGAAAAAAAGTTTGCAATGTTTTAATTTTCTCAGTGCAGCCAATATCATTCCTAATTAGTTATTCTTTTAGTCTCTTTATCTCCTCTACCTGCCTAAGGAGGTTGCTGGAGAAACATTCTAGTATCTTAAATGATAAGTCATAAGTCATCATAGCAATCGTATGATGGTTCCTAAACCAACCAGTTTCGCCATGCAAACAGATTTCGATGAATTTTGATTTTAGTGTTGGCTGAGTATTGCTTACATCAAAGTATACTAAGAGTAATGATATGAGTAATGCTTATTTGTCAAAACAAAAAAAATACAAAAAGTTAAAAAAGCATTTATCATGCTAGATATTTTAGGAATAAAATGCAGTTTAAGTACACGTGTCTTAATCCAAAGAAATGATGTAAAATTTATTAAAAGCGAAACTGCACTACGCGAAATGTGTGGCCAAGCTGAAACTAAAATAAAAAACAATCACAAAAGTCATAGAATCGAAAGAAATAGCAAACAACAGGACAGAAAGAGGACTATAAAATGCTTACATTGTTACGGCCGCAGAAAAGACCAAGACTGATACTGCTATTGCGGAACTGCTAGGACCAAAAAAAAAAGTGGAAAAGACGACCGAAAAAAGCGATACGTTACTGAACTACGCTAGCGCGAAAAAGAGAAAACAGGCATATTACTTGCTATATGATAAATTATACGAAGTAGCAATAAGGCGGCGACAGGGTGGCAATAAAATGACGAAAAAGGCGCTAACGTGTAAACGTTGGCTAATTACAGGGTGAAAAGACTAAAATAATGAACTTTAAACATGCATTGAATCCTTCACGGGAAAAAATGTCGCACTAAGAACTTACAGAAAGGATGTAAAATTTATTAATGGAAGAATGCTTGCGAGCAACTACATCGAGAGGGTTGCTTAATGTTTTAAAAGACTTCTCGCAGATTTATTTCTTTGTTTTATCGGTGAACCATCCAGTCCATAAGATATCACCCATATCAAGCGAAACCAGACTTCATTGGCTGACTGTTTGGCCGATGGCTGGTGACTGGTGGCTGATGGCTGGTACCTTGACAGAAGGTATTTCCACTGTACTTCGATGCTTCGATGTTCGGTTGAGTGGCTGGTTTATTGAGTCGGTCAGGTTGATCGATTGAGTGAATGATCCTTGGCTAATCAGAAGAGAATTTTGTTCCGGAAGACTTTTCATTTATTCCAATGAAGAGCACTTGCAAAAATTTACTAGTTTCCGAGACGCGGTTTGAAATTTCAAAGAGCGACCTAACGGCAAGAAAATTATCTTACTAGTGCTAAAAAGGCAACTATAGATGCCTTCAGTTTGTAAAAAAAAAGCTATTAATATGGCCTCACAAGCAAAGCCATAGCTCTTTCTTGTCTCTCTGCCCTGGTTATCCTGAGAGATCATCATCCGCCCTTTAGCAGTTTGAGTTTCCAGCACATTTAGTGATAAGTTTGGAAACTTTTAAATTTAACTCTTTGGAATCTAAGGCACGAAATATTTCATCACTCTCTAATAGAGGAGATTAAAATTAAATATTTTGTAAGAAAAGGACTGAAAGGTATTTCTTACATTTATTGTGTACAAGAGACCACGAAATTTTCAAGTCACGGTGTGTTTCGGTAGTCGAGCTAGAGAGCGACTTTCTGTATGAACTGTATAGCATCTAAATTAAGATTCGTGGATCAGAGTGTTAAAAATAGTCCAGTGTCGGTTGAAAGATATTTTATTACAGTTTCAAGTGCATCGTTTCTTAAAAACCGTTGTGTTTACATTTTGTAGATGAAGGATGTGCGAAATTGAGATATGGGGATCAATCTTTTGACGGGACAGTAAAATACTCTCCAATGAATTGGTTTGAGACGCCGGCAGTCGTTAAACTTGAAGCAGGTAATGAATTTATCAAATATATAAATAGTTGTTGTCATATATACATACCTTGCCTCCATTAAGATTTGATTGTCATTAATTGGTGTTGGTTTCCAGCTGATCAGTATCGGTAAAAGCCAAACGGCTCAAAATACTTTTTAGCCGTTTGGCTTTTCACATTTTGCGTTTTAAATTTGAGAGTTTCGAAACATATTTGTTGGACATTCGCTTTGAAAGCTTTCAATATGCAGTTAAGTTGTTGAAATTAGTTTAAAAATGTTCATCTCATAGGTGAAAAACAAAATTCTTCTTTGATAAAAAAGGTTGATTTCTGTTTTCTCTCCAGCCTTGAGGCTTGTCGGGGAAAAAAATCGAGTTTCTGTTTCTCTAGACAGTCCTTCGGTTTATGAACTGTTTGGCTGCAATACTGGATTTCGTTAGATTCTTAACAAAGAAGGAAACGATCACAGTACCCAGTGATAACAAAGGCCAACTTCGTATTGAGTCTATGAGAAAAAAGGTGAAAACGAGCAGTTACTGAAGCAGGGAAGAGACAGCTTAATTAATTAGCTTTAATTTTGCGTAATATTCGAGGGTTTGTTCATTGAGAGAGTGGGATATGTCTCCTGGACAAGGAGACTGGTGATCATTTATCACTTTGAGGGGGGGGGGGGAGGGGAGCGGATTTTCGGGGATCATATTATTTCAGTCGGGGGTCACTTGTCGTCAATGGAATATAGAGGAGGGGGGTGACAAAAAAATTTACTTCCAATTAATTGCCAATGGGGTGGGATCATAAGAATATTACAGAGCTTTGAGGGGAGATCAGTTAAAAATTTTATCGTGACACAACTAAAAATCTTCCACCCCAGACAATAAATAATGACTGGTTCTTCATGTCTACTAGACCAATAAGAATGAAAATCTAGCAAAAACAAGTGAATATCAACAGTTGATTTCTCCTAGCAAAAACTTAAAAAAATTAACTCGATATGTTGCCCTAACTACTTATTTTGAACTCTGAACTCTCTCATTAGCGTGTTCGGGCGAGGAAGCACTTGGGCTGGAGAGCGGTCTCATTACTGATCAGCAGATTACCGCTTCATCCTTCTGGGGTAAGGCAAACGGTGAACAGAACGCTCGACTAAACCACCAAGCCGCCCGAGGTAAAACAAGTGCCTGGTCAGCGGGAAGCAATGATCTCAATCAGTGGCTTCAAATCGATTTCGGACGAAATGTGAAAATTACAAAGCTTGCGACTCAGGGACGTAATGACTACGGCAACCAATGGGTGAAAAGTTATACTTTCGCTTACAGTGCGGATGGCAGTAACGTTCTTCAGGCCTATAAAGAGAATGACGTTGATAAGGTGCTGTGGTGTCCTTAATAATGCAGCTTATGCAGCGAGGGCTGTAGGGAACTTTGCAATTTATATGTAATTTTTATTTAGTTTTAATGATGGGGGTCCGACCGATCCTACCTTCCTTCTTCCTATAAAACCACGTGATCCCCCCATATTACTCCGGACCCCTCCTCCTCAAGGTGATCACTGGTCCTTAATAGAGATGAGATAAATTACGAGGTACATGGTTATTATCAGACAGAACCTCGATCAATTAACACATTCTTTTAATGCCTTGAAATCACAGACCGTTATCAAGTACTCGGTCGGAATGTCCACATGGATTACGTTCAAGAGCATCTTCGTACAAAAAGAGAGGTAGCCTTCGGACAGACCCAGGAGCGAGCCAATAGAATCGAGCTTGAAATTCTAGCTGATACTGTATATGTTAAGGTAGGTTTTTTTACAATTTATTTTAACTTTGGCTAGGGGAAATTTGGTTTTTTTGTGGTACCCTTTCGTTTGTTCCCAAGAACCTTTCGTACTCAATAGAATCGTATTAAAGTCAGACAATTCATACCCAGTTTGTGTCAGTTCGTACCAGTCCTAACGTTCAGTGACAATCAAAACCTGGGAGATCTCACGAACAGATGTTGACTGTTGCGCACGACAAGTTAGCAAAGAGGCAAGCGGGTAAAACACAAACAAAGTTCTGTTTTGTATACTTGTGACCTTCTTAACAATAGACACTAAATTATAATTACTGCCCAAGGCGATGTAAGGGTGTTGTACAAAAACTAGACACCCCACACATGAAACTTCTTCAACGAAGATTATATTGTTACTGATTGCAGAATTTAACATCAGGAACCCACCTTACTTTTAGTAAGATGGGTTCAAAAACATAATTAACGTAGAAAACGAACGTAAATTAATATGGCTGGATACAAAACATCCTCGGGTAGTAAACAGGTGGTAAGCGTTTCGATCAGTAAAACTGAACCTTGATGTTTTCGCAACCTCTACGAATTACAGTTGGATGAAGAACGTATTGTAGCAATGGAGGCCATTTATAAATGACTGTTGCGATCAATTTAAATTAGTTTTGGTTTCTGACACCCAATCGAAAAGTGTTTCGATTCAGAATGTCCAAATGGAGCACGAACAGTTCTGAATTGAGAGAACATTGACTGCCTCAGGGCGGTTTCGATATACATGTAAGGGATTATACGCTGCTTATTTTCCATAGGGTGACGTGGACTTGCGTGGTACAAAAAAGTTGACAATATTCAGCCGAAAGGTGGTCTTTTTGAAAGACAGTCAACTGAACCTCAGAGCTCCCAACTTAGTGCAAAATTTAAATATTCTGTCTCCTGGTACCGATGGAGATGATGGGAAGCATGGAGTTCATGGTCCAACAGGTGAGTTAAGGACTGCCAGAAATTTAAGGCTATTATCTTCTGCCCTTTTTCGTATGTGGCTTGTGTGGGTCAGGACCAAGTATCATTTGTGTGGGGGTCTAGAGGTACCAAATCCCCGAGGGGTACATCCTAGAAATAAGCTAGTAGGGATGTACTGAAGGATGGGATCGCACTTTCACGACTGGGTTGACTGAAGTGTGGCGTTACTTCTACAACAGAGTCACTAGAATGGGGTCGCAAATTGTCAGAATTTTGGATTATGCAACGCAAGTTTTTATTATCATTATTTTTTAATCTGTCATCTAAAGTCACAGTCTACGCGAAAATGATGGCTGGCTATGTAAATATCATAACAAGTGGCGGAAATGGAAACCCGGGGCAAAATGGCGCGAATGGAAGAAAGGCAGCCGACAGCATGCACAAGGTACATCATTCAAGGACGTGACCCTCGGCAACGTTTGTTTATTGAAGGAAATTAAAATGAACTCATGTCAAAATGGAATGCTCACCACCAACAATTTCTCATTATTATTTTTCATCACCATCATGACCCATAATCTAAGTGAAAACCTCGCTGCCGATTTAAACTTAAACTTAAAATATACTTACAATAATCATCGTTATTTGATACGCGTGATATAGAAAAACTAAGGCAAAGGTCATAATTTATCACCTGAAGGGGACTGAGGAAGTTCACTATTGATGATTGAACGAAAATTTACTCTAACAGTGGAAGTTTTATGTCAATAAACAATCAGTACTTGGTCTAACTTTACTATTCAAACAGCAACCTGACAGGACAAACTCTGACTGCAAAAAAGGCAAAACAAAGCATGGCTGCACTAGTCACATTGCAGGGATACCAGGTAAATTAGGCGGAAATGGAGGAAACGGCGGAGATGGTGGGAGATCAGGTAAAACTGAAACTTTAATAATTTATTCTAACCATAATAGAATAAATCGATTTCTTCCTTTTGAGCTTCCAAAGATCCACCTAATTGTCCAAAAATTGTTATTAACGCTAATACTTCCTTTTTCGACGCTGCAACCACGCGTTCTTACTCTAATTATCATTTTCTTGCCCAAGTTTTTTACTTTTACTGATTATTGATTCAAAAATGTCTATTTAAGAGTTAATTAAAGGGAGCAAATTTCTCAAGAAATCGTAGTGCTGCGTCAGTTTGGGGATTAACAGGATAATTAATTTTGGTGTTATCAACTTAGTTGATAATAGAAATTGGTTACCGCAAAGAATTTCTAAAGTTGACGTTTCGAATGTTAGTCCTTTTTCAGAGGGAATGATGAACAGCTAACGCTTGAAACGACAGTTTTAGAAATTCTTCACGGTGGTCAATTTCCATTTTCAACTCAGTTGTTAAAACCAAATTATCCATATCAAAAATGGTTCAGCGTGCGTTTGATGAGATGTGGTGAAAACGACGGAGGTTTGGAGAGCACGAAAGATGCGTTAGAGTTGACCGCTCTTCAAGCAATTGATTCCAGCCTATTAAGTACTCTCCAATCTTCTGAAGGGCTTCATATCTAGATTAACACACAGCTGATGCATGAAGTAATTGTTTGATTGCATTTTCCCAACAGCAGTGGAATATGCCTTATATGGTAGTTCCCCAGCCATGCACACGCACGTTTTTAGTGTACCCCGCGCCCAGTGGAAAACTGAGGCAATCGCTCTGTTGACTTTCATTACTTGTACACGAATTTATTATGTTATAAACAGTAGTAATCACTACTTAAATGTACTACATTTACTTATGTCCCTCGCCTATTTATTTATTTATTTATTGAACTTAACAACAGGAAATGGTGGCAATGCAGGTCGTCAAACTCTTCATGTTTTGAAAGTGAGAGGGTATGTCGAATTAACATCTTGTCGTGGGTTTGGAGGGCAGGCGGCAATAAACGGATCAGGAGGAGCCGGTGAGGACTCAGAAATTCTTAATTAATAAAATTTTGCACGAGGAAACAATGCAGAAGCATTGACTGAGCAACGAATGGTTTGATAAATTGAAAGATTGTTTTCAGGTGGTTTAGGAGGACGAGGTGGCCGCGGAATAAACTGTAGGAAGAAGGAAAGATGTTCCGGCGGACGTGTATTTTATTCCTGTAGTCACTCGTGTGAATCATCCGGACAAACTGGCGAGGCCGCTCGCGGAGCAACTGGAAGAAGCGGAAGCAACGGACAAGGTTTTTTATGTGGTTATTAATTTATTCTTTAAATTAACTTTAGACGGTCTTACGCTTCCTTGAAATGGAATAAGGTTCCCAGGTTATGGCTCCTCTTCCCTTCTCGTACGGACTGTGTTGGCGAAGAATGAGAAGGGAAGGGAGAGAGCATTTGGTTGTTTTTTTTTTCTTCAAAGAATTCTGTCAATTATTTTCACAGGCGAGAAAAGAGTGGAACGCTGTTTCAAGTTTAAGCGTTCCCCTTCTTCCTCTCTAAACTTGTGGTGTTGGTTCAGAAAATAAACTGAAATGAAATGTTTTCAAGTATTGTGTTCATCAACACTGCAGTGGGAAGGGAATGGGAACTAGTTTGGTCCTGCTTCGAAGGTTCCTCCCAAAAATTTCAATTTGCAGGGCAATGCTAAAACACTGTCTAAAGGTTACGCTTCAAATACAAATTTAACGCCTTTCAATTTTCCTACTGTCATTTTACTTTCAAGAACTCGTCGCAAAGGGCTCCGATGGTCAGGAGGAAATGTCGTATCTCCAGAAATTTAGTCTGGGTCCAAAGCAATTGAAAAAGTATCCTCTGCAGCTGATAAAGATGATGACAAGATATGGTGAAGAACTTCTCTGGGCCAACGATGTCAAAAAGAGCAACGCTGTGTTCAAGTTTGTTGTAAAATTGTCAAGTGGCAAAGCTGGAGCGTCTGAATTGAGAAAAGGTTCGGTATTTTCGAATATATTTTCGTTTAATGTACCTCATTTAAATAAATAACATAAAAGAAATTTGCTGATAACTCTATTTTCGAAAGACATGATCCCAGCCCGACAATAAATACTTATATTTCCCAAATAGATTCCATGTTTGTACAGTAATAGATTACAGATGACCTTAAAATGTGGTAAGAACAAAAGATTAGGACTGGGGGCGCAGTCATCAATGAATTTAAGGCCGTAATCTGCATAGAAGATGATGTGAAATGTAATCTCCCATTGGGAGTTTGAAGCGGTACACAAGCACTTATCAACTCCCTTGCTAATCATTCGTTTGGATTATTTCTTAGTGGCAAAGAGAAGACTGGCTTTTATGAACAAAGTAGGATATGACAGATTTGGGAAGAACCAACTTTTCGCACCTATTATCAAATGGGAGGCCTTCAAGAAACAGGTCGAAGTCATCAAAGATCGTGCAGAAACGTTTGAGAACGCTTACAATGCTATCAAAGATTCGATTACACGGCATGATGACGTTAAGACAATAGTAAAAGCACTACCACAGGCTGCCAGACTTCAAGTTGTAAAGCAAAAGAACAGACTTGTTGAGGCCAAACGAATAGCAGTAAGCGAAAAGGGAGCATATGTATTGGTAAGAGTCAAAACCTCATTGTCGAATATATAACGATTTCTTAACGAGAGAGTACCAACCTGTGAAACTGAGATCTCCAACTGGTCTTCCCTCTTACATTTTTCTAAGGTGAATAATGCTATACCGGCGATCTTTACTTGAAACAATCTGAATCAAAAAGCTTTTTCGTAGGCGAATTTTGTCAACGTTGGCATTGCATATGGCGTACTGTCCTTCTCTAAAACATTTATTTCAAAGAGAAACAGACCAGATGCCTCGATTCTAAGTAAACTTGGGAGGGACACATGAGTATAGCTTCGAAATAAAGGCCTAACGAAAAACGCGCTGGTCAGGCGGCTGGGTCTGGGTTGAAAACAAAGTTGGTCAATATTGGTGATGAAATTTGATTTTTAAAGTACTTCTCTCCACCAAAGAGCATCAGTGAAGAGTTAGCAAGGCAGGCGGATTGATGAAGGATAACCTGCGATGACGTAGCATACAGTCCAGTTGGCGCGGCATTATCCCCAGTCGTCTTAAGCTACGGAGTCCTAGATAAACTCCAGCTAAAGATAAGCCAATCGGCTAAATTTCTGACTTTAACTTCCTTGTTATCCTTGCCCTAATATTACAATTGTTTTGTCTCCTCTTCGTTGCACTAGGCTATCGGTGAGCTGGAGGCAAGCATGAAGAGCAATCTTCTAGAAGCAAAAGCGATGCTTCCAGACGTGTACGAAAAAGCAAAGTTTAACAGCGACGACTTATTCGTCATTCTTGAGGGAATAACAGGATTCTTTAGTGGTGCAATGGGAAAAGATCCTTTCGCAGCCCTTGGATCAGCCCTCGGGGTTATTGGGCATTTTGCTGGCAAATGTGACCTTGGTAAACTTCAGGATAATTTGGATAAAGTAGAAAAATGGTTGAAATTTGGAAAGGACTATGCTGCCCTAAAAGACTCAAGTGAATTGGATTTTGACAAAATGGATGTGGCTGCTGTACCTGAAGTAATGCAGGTAAACACGGAAATGCTGCATCTTCAATATCTAACGTTTGTGTTTCAACAGCTTGTTATTTTGTTGTTTGTTTGTTTATCTACTGATTTAATCGTTGAGTTTTATTTATTTTGTCTTTCTCTTTACCCTTTGGTCTGTTTTCTTTTCTGTGTCTCTCTGACGCTCTGTCTGTGTGTCAGTCTGTGCGCCTCTTTCTTTGACCCTAACTCTATTGCTGCTTCCCAAGTGATATCCAGTTCATGACAAAAATTTTGATATTCTTATAAAAAGGCTAATCTGGAAATGAACAAAGAGGGACTTGCAACGGAACTTGTTTGCCTGCTGGATGAGAGGTCGAAACCTCGAAACTCGGCAAAGTTTCAAGAACAGATCGAACGATATTTTATCGCCGGTGCCGCAAGAATCGATCTCATAGCAAAGGTCATGGACTTGGATAACGAAGTCGGTGGACATAAATTTGACATCTCAAACTTAGAGGAGACAGCAAATGAAATTGAAAGCCTTAGTAATTCTGGTGGTAAGGATCTTTGTGATTATACATTGCACCCTAAGATCCCACGCTCGGTCGTGCACATGTGTGGCTATACATTCTCGCCGAAATATCCCATCAAGTTTAGCTTGGATGTCCCGTCGCCTCACGCTTTCCCTGTTGGTAATCCTCTTTCCGTAAATAAGCAGGAAAATGAATATTAAGCGTGACAGATTCGTTTCCCAAATTCATCCAACTTACCGCAGCTGTTTTTCATAATTTCTGTTTAATTAACATAATGGTGCATTTGTATTTGAGTAGGCAAAGGCCTAATGCTAGCATATTTTCTTTTCAGATTCTCCCATTGCTGAAAGCACACAACAGATGTTTCTGGATGGTTTACTTACGTCCTATCAGCAGATAGAAACAGGATTTGCCCGACAATTGTACCAGTTGTACAAAGGTTTCGAGTTTCGCTCTCTATGGATTGTTCGGGAAAAATTAGCTGAATTCGAACGGCGAGCAGTGTTAGCCGCGCAGGGAACAGGAAATCTCCGTGGGGTTTTAGAGCTTACAAAAGCACTTCAAGAAATTGACGATATCGAAAATAAGGGACAGCGATGCTTCACAAAATTTCGTCACACAATTACTACGCACAAATGGACGTTTGACAGTGCTAAAGACAACGTGGTGTGTGGTGTATTTTTTTGTCTTTGTTACAATGAGCTATTAAATAATACAGACGTTTTTTGCAGTTTTTAGTGTTGCTGTTGATGTTTTTTTTAACTTTTGTTCCTTGTTTTCCCTTTTATTTTTTGGTATTTTTCGTTGGGTATCAGTATTCGACTGTTTAGCCCCCTTGGATTAAGTTAAAACCTCGTTAAACACTCATTTCATTTCCTTCATTTGACTTTTGATTTTTGATTTTGTCTTTCTGAGCAAACTTTGGCAGTTCTCCGTGTGGCTTGTTACCTTGTTTCGATTGTTGCAGGAAAGGTTTTTATGTGCTACTTCATTTTCGTAGAAGGAACCTCTGCATTAAATGTCATCTTTATTGCTATAAAATTCTTTACTTATAGTTCTTCATTATTTCTTGCAGATGTTCGACGAACTTCATAAGGGCGCTACGAGGTTTTCATTGAAAATTTCAGATAGCTGCGATCTATGTTATAATGTGCGCCTTTTGAAGGTAATAACTAGGCTCAGATAGATTGTGCTGGCATAACTTTGGCCATAATTTTATAGTAAGGGCATCGAGCATAAGGCCAGCATAATGAGTAAGATTCTTTGCGTTAAACTGAGTTTTTAGTACTTATTTACTAAAAAATTTTTGAGGTCCTTTTTTTTTAGTTTCTATTTCTTTTCTGCAATTTTTTAAGACTAGGTTACTTCATTGAAAGCCTGATTTCAAGGTTTTACCAATACCACGAGATTATATACAGTTTATAATCTCTTCAGTAACACACTTGGCTTTTAAACACTGTTAAATTTAGTTACTACATGGAGCAAAATAAAAAAAAGGGAGCATAATTTTGGACACAATGTTTTGCTTTTAGGGGTGATTCTTAAAAGCATAATTGTCGAATTGTCAACCACAATTGTTATTCTTTAGTTGAACTATGTTTAACCGTGTTTATAACTGAATAAAAATCGTGATCAGAGACAGAGATCTGAAAAACTGGATTTTCCACAGGTTTATTTATTCAGTAACATGAATTTTCAAAATGCACTAATTTAAAGTCGACAAACATCGGTTTAAGCAGCTGTTACGGAAAAAACAATGTAAAACCGTGTTTTAACAAAACGGCTTTTAAACATGTTTATGCTTTGGTGCGAGTGGGGAATTTGACTGTCAATGAAGATAACGTTCAGTCTAAATTTTCTAACTGACGATAAGAATTAAGATCTGTTCGCCCTAATCTCCATGTTTTTTTTTTTTCGTTTTCTGTTTTCGACTTTTCTTTTTACAGATGTACGTTGAGCTAGAAGGTGACGAATCTCAAAGCGGTGATTACCCATCGAGGGTTTATCTTAAATTAAGACATCTCAGTGGCTCTTACTTTAGAGATGGAAACGGGAATGTCAGGGAATTCCGGCAGCCTTTAGGATCATGGCGGACGTTAGAATTCGACCGATTTGCAATCACTAATACCGAAGGATGCAACAAAGAAAAAGCAAAAGGAAACAGTGAGTAATGATTTAAAAGGCTAACCTTATATAGTATTTCACGAAAGCCCTTCTTCCTGGTTTCACGCAACTCTATCATCAAGGCGTGACATCCTACAGAACGGCTGTCAAGTAACTGCGAAGGAGATTAGACTCCGACCACACCAATTCGTTTTCGCTCTTCAACGCATACTTTTTGATGCGTTTCTTCCGCCTATCATTAACTAAAGCCAGAAAAGCGCTGATGAAAACGGAGCGTGGAGCATTTTGAAAAACACCTCCTTTATAACCTTGATAAGTCTGGACATAGTGGGCATCGCTGTCCTTTCAAATTATTTGTAAAACATTTCTTCTCGCAAATTTTCAGAGGATTCTCTCTTCTGTATGGGCAAGGACGATAACCGCTTTCAACCAATGTGCTGTCATTATCTTAGCGGTTCACCGTGTGATGACACACTTCTTGGAGCAGAAGAATGCCGGAGTCCATTTGGAACTTACGAGATGACCATACCGATTGACAGCAAAACTCCCTGTAAAGCCAGTGGCTCGCGCATAACAGACGGAAATTGCAAGGACTTTGATGTAAGCGAAAGTTATTAGATTTGACTAAGAGGTTGTTGGGCATCTGAAAATAAAGACAATCCCCACGTATTCCAGGCTAACAATTTTCCACACGCGATAATTCACAATTGCAGAGGAACAGCAATATTTTAACGTCAAAGTTGGCGTTTTACTTGTCCAAATTATATTACTTTTCAGCGGAATAAAAAAGGTTTTTTTCCTTGATTTTTCCTATCACTATTTTTCTCCAGATTTCTTTACTGATCAATTTTTTGAAATAACTAGATGTGAGTGAAATATCGATTGACGCAACCCCCTCCCCCTTCCCCTCCCCCCCGTTCCTCGAAATTCGAAGCACGGTTTAATTTCCGTGGTGACGTATGTTACCGTGGTGATGTATTTCCAAGAGAGCTACCATTCTTTTTTCGTTGCTTGCATCCAAGAGAATATTTTATCTGATGCCTCGTAAGAAAATTGAAGCAAACAATGGCATTATAAAACTTGGTAGATGTCATGCATTTAGGAAAGTATTTTTAAAAAACTTTTACTCTTTATGCTTCATTTCAAAACAAATAATTGTTAATTATTGCCGGAATGAGATTGGAGTACTGGCTACTTGTTATGGCCATAAGGGTTCTAAACTAAAGTCATGTACCAAATTATGTTAGAATCGAAAACGACTGCGCATGCGGTTTAAACGTTAAACGGATAAAATTAATGGAAAGATACTGGCGGCTACAATATGTTGTGATTTGTCCAATTTTTTCTTCTTTTGTGCATCAGCGTTCAGTGTTCACAAAAATGAACGTGTGGATTCAGTATCTGTACTGGACTGGTGAGTACCCAAAAGGTCCAGACGACCCAAGATGCAGCAAGTTCCAGGACCCAGACTCCGAGGCCGAGCATGTTCCCATAACTATTAACCATGAAGCATCAGGTGATATCGAGTCATAGAGAAAATTATAGAGAAAAAGAACTAATAAACGTAGTGGAATACTGCAGTCACTGTGATTTAAGGAGGATTGTAAATGGCTCTAATTAGTTTAAAGCAATGGGACATGAATAAGAATAAAGTAATTGCTAAACATTTTCTGTGTTTGAAATTTATTGCATACATTCAGGGAGAAAGGTATAAGTAGTTGAGCAGCTAATGGTTTGCGCGCTGCATGAGTTCTAGTTACGTACGAAAAGGTTCGGCTCATGTGTTCGTGTGGTCAGCGGACATTCCCAATAATGCCTGACGCACTGAATAGAAGCCTGGCTGGTTCCATAGTGACCATAACAGCTACAGTGGTAGAAGAACTGATCATTACATGGGTTTTTTTGGGTCGTGAGCAGATAAAGCTGAGCATGGTCTGTTGTATATGAGACACCAACGATCTTCTTATCCAGCAATCAGAAAAAAAAACCGGAATTATTCGAATGACAGCAAATAGAGAAGAATATTTGACTACTTCCGTTTAATAATTTATCAGCTATTCTTTATTTTGGAGACTTAAATCGATCTAACTCCTGATAAAAAGGACCCACATACATGTTGTCCAATTACAGAGCATACATCAATCCATGTTGGCGTATCACGTCAGATAACGTGAATAATCCAGGTTTTCATCTGCGTTAAGGTAAGGCAAACAATCTGACAGACGTCCTTACACTTCCCGTTATCAATAAAATTACAGAGGGATTAGTGTTGAATTTCTCATTTGGAGTTACTACATTCAATTTACCCTTAATCACTCTAATTTGACTTGGTAAAATGTTGCTGGTGATTGGAACTTGGTTCCCATTCAAATCTTCAATATTGTGTTCACACTGGGAGAAGTGTCCAGTTCCTCTGGGTCTTTGTGGTCCTTGTGAACCGTTACAGGGGCAAGAGAAAATGTGATCTTTGTTTTTTTCTTTTTCTTTTTTCGCCCGAAGTAGATCGATCGTGGTTTTGCTACGCCTTATTTAAGGTTCCCTGGAGGTGATTTGATAATTGTGGCTGGCAAATGCCACTTACCAGAGCTTAACATAAACCGAAGTAAAGATCTTTTAAACGAACTAAAAAGGGTATACTCACCTTTATCTTCGTTTCAGATATCGCCATGGCTAACTTGTTTTCTGACACATTCAAATTTTCCTCCAAACGTTTGAGTCCAGTATTCACCTAAAGCGCAATTCTGAGGTTAAGAGGTAGTTAAGAATAGCAACAAGACAGTTTGGTTAAAAGTTCTTATTCATCTTTGATTAACACTCTTAGAAAGAACTTCTATGTTTCCTCAACTGAAAAAAAAAAAACAAAACAAAAAACCAACAAAAAAACAAACAAACAAACCTCTTGCGCTTTGTAACAACATATTGTCGGTCTTTGTAATTAACTAAGCTGTATAATAACCTGGTCGAGGACAAGTAGACCCGATAATATCTGTCAATCCTGTTAATAACGATGACGATAATAGCAACGATAATTAAAATGACAATTATGATGATAACAGTGAATACGATAATGATTCTGATAGCAATAGTACCGGTGGTGATGGAGATGATGACGAGAATGAAAATTGTGTTATTGATTATAACGATAATTTAAATAGTGAAAATCTGTCCCTCAACGAAAACACCAACTGCGAGTCTTATTATATTTTCCTGGTCCTTTATTAACTATTTATTAGGGTACATGGCAAGTAATTAAGTTCAGCTTAATTGCTTTACCCAAGGCTGACAGTTATCTGGCTTTGTCAGAAAAATAGACATATCAAAAATTTTTCTGACGGACGATATGACATGTATCTTTTGGTTAATTAGCATACTAAGCCATGAGCTGAGTATGCTAATCGCAGCGTTTGGAAATACATAGGAAATAGTAGTAACCTACACTGAAGCCGAAAAATTTGGAATTGAGACCGTATCATCGACCGTACAAGGTGCTTCTTTTAGCATGCGCGGCCGGCTGCATTGCGGGCACTATCTTAGCCATTACGTAATGGAAGGGTGAGGAAGAAAGTAATGCGCAGGCCCGATTCCGTGCGTAACTTGGATACCCCATTAGTGTGTGCCAGGAGACACCGGCAGATGACAGTGAAGTGCGCATACTCGAGTGCCGAGCTTTGGTGCAGCGTTCCGCGGGCACACGGTTAGGCATTACATGAGGGCTTCACGTGGGGTAGTGGATATGAAGCCGTGTAAGCAAGTAATTTGCAACACGCGTTTTGAGCGGGAAATCAAACTGGTGAAGTTGTAGTTGAACAGTAATTCTCAGTATTTTGCAATTCTAATCAACTCGCAAAGCAACAATACCAGCAGAGCTAAAGCTTTGTCAACCGGAGGAAATTGTTGTAATTCACGTTCGTGGAGAGAGGGTTTTGTGTGAAAATAGACTGGAAAGAAAGAGACAGAGCGACCAAAGAAAGCAAGAGTTAAAAGGCGTAAAGCGAGTCGAGAAAAACGCGCAAGAAAGTTAGAGAGGACGCCAAAATAGGCAGAATACGGCGAGAGGAGCGCAGAAGAGAGCAAGAAAAGGCATAAGTAAAAGACGAATATGTAGCGAAGAGCAACGCGAGAAGGAAAATCTTAAAGCCGCTCCGGAAAAGAATGAAAAGAGGTCATCAACAAACAGAAGCAAACTACAAAGGATCCGAGAAAGAAGAGGAGGTAGGTCGTGTCTTATCTGGGTTTCCTCTTACGCTAAGGCCCAGAAAAAATTCCATTTTTTTATATCAATCGTCTTTTGATTTTGATTCTAGCTTCAGTTTATACTTCAAATCACGTCCGGTAAAATAATGACTTGGGCATTCATTGCTCAAAAACCCTCAAGCCGGTTCATCGCTCCAATAACACTTCAAAGTGTTCGTATTCTTCAAGTTATTTCTCGTCGTTTGGAATGTTTAATACGAGGCGTACTTTATGCTCAGGTTATGCGATACGAAAATTTTTTGTAATGCCGGAAACTGAAGAATCAATCTCTGAAGTTGATAGGCATCGCATTTTGCAAGAAGCATCCAAGCTGTGATCGTTTAATAAAACGGGGTCCTGGTAATTTGAGCTCACAAGTACGCTGGTAAGCACATGATTAGCGTAAATGATTGTTGTTTACAGTTTTCGAATTCAAGAGCAGTTTTGAGAGCCCGTTTTCTGTAACCTTCCTGGATATTTTCTGTTGAGTTCACTTAATTTAGGGAAGTTTTGTTAACACACTATAAGTTTGCAATTCTTGAACCATTTCAGTAAGCTGCGTGGATATCTTCTTTTAAAGAATCTGACTGAATCCTACAACCATTCAATTATCACACTACGTCAGTAACTATAAGAACGATAAAAGATCTGTCCGATGTCAGCACACATCAGTGAGACTGGCACAAACCTTTTAAACTTTCTATACGATTTTATGAAACTATTACTTAATTCACTCTCGATAAATTGGCCTGGCATAACTCGTTAATATTACAAACGAACCGAACAGAACGACTTCACTAACGGATCCAAACCGACCAATCACGACTGACCTTCGCCACTTGAGTCTTACAGCCAATAACATCACGGCAAAACTGACCAATCAAACCGGACTAAGTACATTCGACTGACAACAACCTTTCACTTGACTCTGATGATGACTTCTGCTCAGGTTGTCGAAACGTCAGTCACCACTACCGACAACAGTCCTTCTCAGGACTACACTCACCCGGACGATCAAACTACACTATCACTCTTAGTTTTTTCAACAATCATCAGTTCGTCCGGCGGAATAAAATCAAGAGAAGGTAAGATCCTCAAAAATTAGCTGCAATCAGTCAGAAAAGAAGGGTGAGATTGGAATCCGCGCCTCCAAGTACATTTTGGGAGTGGTGCAAACTTTAGAGGTTTCTTCATTCCCATAAAGGAATCTGATGCGAGTGGATTGAGAGTGGATAGATGACCAGCTAACAGATGGGAAGATCAACTTGCAAAAGCATTAACTGAGCAATGAATCGTTTGAAAAATTGGAATAAATTGTTGTTTTCAGGTGTCAAAGATGTTTGAATTTGAAGGACGTATGTTTGCTAGGCCACAAGGAATGGAATGCGGTCAGTGTTCTCCTTCTCGGCCGTTTGTAGTGCTGCCTGACGATCGATTTGTTGGGCACGGTGGTAGCCCGCTTGAACGACAGAAACAGGATAGCCGCGTTTATCGAAAAACTGGCACATTGTCTCTGATTTTTCGGAAAAATCGGCGGACGTCTCTATGTTAACTGTTTTCATTGGTGTGAATCATCCGGAAATACCAGCGAGGCCGCTCGTGGAGTAACTGGAAGAAGCGGAAGCAACGGACGAGGTTTTTTATTTGTTTATTCTTTAATTTAATTTTAGACGGTCTTACGCTTCCTTAAAATGGAATAAGGTTCCCAGGTTATGGCTCCCCTCCCCCTTCTCGTACGGAATATGTTTGCCAAGAGTGAGATTTGAAGGGAGAGAGCACTTGGTTCGTCTTTTTTCAAAGAATTCTATGATTATTTATGAGAAGGGTGGAACGCTGTTTCAAGTTTAAGCATTCCCCTTCTTCCTCTCTAGACTTGTAGCGTTGGTTCGGAAAATAAAACTGAAATGAAATATTTTCATGTATTGTGTTCATCAACACTGCATTGGAAAGGGAATGGGAACTAGTTTGGTCATATTTCAATTTGCGGGGCAACGCTTCAAATACATATTTTACGCTTTTCAGTTTTGTTACCGTCATTTCATTGGCGGGGCAATGCTAAAACATGATCTAAAGTTTACGCTTCAAATACCTATTTAACTCCTTTCAATTTTGTTGCGATTTTTCCTTTAAGAACTCACCGCAAAGAGCCCCGATGGTCAGGTGGAAAGTTCTTATCTTCAGAAATTTAGTCTGGGTCCCAAGCAATTGAAAAAGTATCCTCTGCAGTTGATAAAGATGATGACCAGATATGGTGAAGAACTTCTCTGGGCCAACAATGTCAAAAAAAAGCGACGCTGTGT